TCGAAGTCGTTGACCCTCATCTTTATGATGAGCGCGTTGTCATGGGGGTAGTGGACCCCGTGTGCATCGTCCTCTATGAAGAAGATGGGGTCCTCTGTCCTTGGCCGTTTTGGAGGGTTCTGCTCTTCCCTGCTGGATTCATGAGCTGACGCACAAGCTGCTGCTAAAGTGCAACCCGCCACAATCGATCCTCCGACTTTGACGTGGATGATCCCCCGAACTGGTCTTTCTTCAGGGGGCTGCTTCTGTGGTTGCTCCGCTTGTCGTCTAGATTCGGGGGCGTCTCTACCTTGCTCTCCCTGTCGACCTGCTTTATTATTATTATTACTATTATTATTTTGTACAAAATTTCATAAATATCCGCGATGGATGAACTCTTCTATCTCATCGCGGAGGTTTTTACAACTCTCGGTACTATGACCGTGATCTTTATGAAAACTACAATACAAATTTTTATTCCGGGTGCTAGGGTCGGCCTTCAGCCGAGGTGGCCACTTCACATACGGAGCGTCCTTGATCGCCATGAGGATCTCAGCCCGTTTTGTATTGAGGGGCGTGTAGTCCCTTTCTGTTGCTGGGGCTCGGGAGGGCTGGACTGGCCTCGCCCCCCGAGCTATGTCCTTCTTCTTCCTGTTGTTGCCCTGAGATGGGGGTTCTGGTTCCCTCTTTCTTTTTTCTAGGGCCTATTCACCCTTCTGGTTGATCTTCTCCTCAGTCCCAATAAACCTATCCATGAGCTTAAGGAACTCGGTTACGGTTTTGGGTTGGTTGACAACTACGTGCCACTTGAACTCCTTATGGGTGATACCTCGCTTGGCTGCTATGAGGCATACTGTGGGATCCAGGTCGCGTATCTACAAGCAAGCGTCATTGAACCGCTTGATGTAGCTCCGGATGGACTCCCCTTCCTTCCGCACTATGCCGAGGAGGCTTTCCTGAGTTCGCGGGCATCTCTTGCTGGTGACGAAGTGGGAGGTGAAGACCTGCACGAACTGCGCCCAACTTCTTATCGATCCTGGCGCAAGGTTCCGGTACCAGGTGTGGGCCACTCCTTTGAAAGTAGTGGAAAAGGTCACGCACATGCAGGACTCGCTAGCCTGTGCCATGTGCATTTGGGATTGGAAGGCGTCCTCATGGTCATTTGGATTGAAAGACCTATCATACTTGTCTAGAGGAGGGAGCTTGAAATCATTTGGCATGGGGACAACAAGGAGTTCTGGAGATAATGGGGAAGAAACCGAGAGGAGGGAGGTAGCTTTCACTTCAGCCGAGCACACCTCCTCCTTTCCTTTGAGCTCAGGAGAGGCCCTGGAAGCAGTTCGGTGAGCTCGCCGGCGCCTTCACTACTGCTTTGCTGGTTCGGCGTTGGTGCTCGATGCCTCGGTGTTGCCGAGCTCGATAGGCTCGGACTGTTGGTGACAACTCTGGACCGAAGAGCCCTGTCTGTAGCCCGCTGGTAGGACCTCGAACGAGTTGTCTGCTAACGGGAGCTCGAACTACGAAGGTTGTGGTGACACGGGCTTTGTTGGGTGAGCAGGCTGCGAGGTGGGTGCCGAGATGGCAGCCGGCCTCTCTTTCTTGCCACGAGAAGAGGCGCGACTCTTGGCTGGATCTTGGACCTGGGAGACTTCTTCTCGACGAGGCCGCTCACTTCGGCGGGTCGGTTTGGCCTGCTTCGTGGGTGGGTGCCGAGGTGGAAGCGACATCTGCGCCTGAGGCAGAGAGGGAAACTGCTACTGGTACTGGTACTGGGAAACCTGGTGGAGCACTTGCTGTTGGTAGAGTTGAAACTGTTGGAACTGTTGCATTTGAGCCTGCATGGCCCGTATGCATTGCACTAAGTCCTCCAGTTGGTTCGGGTTGGTCGCTGGGGGCACAACCGAGGGTTCAATAGAGGTTGCTCCTAAAGTAGAAGGGAGCGGAGCAATGGCGGGTGCCACTGTATGAGGCGCATTCAGACTGGGGACTCCGTCCACGGTGAGGGGGACGGTAAACTATCCAATGCAGACAGTAGGAAGCTGGGGCTGCTCCCCACTAGCGTTCTGGTTGTTGCCATGCCCGGAATTGCTGGAATAAGCCATGAAGAATGCTACGTTCTTTTTTTTTTTTCTGGAAGAAGGAACTTGTGAAAGCTCAAAGGAAAGCTTTTAGAAGCGTTTCCCACAGACAACGCCAAATGATGCGGCACGATCCGGGCACTCCTAGCTGGTTGCTAACTGGCTCCTTGTTGACAATGAACAGCACCTGAGAAGATGGAAATGAAGGATTCCTGGGGATTTACTCGGTAGGAATACTCCCGAAGCTTAAGTCAGAATGTTGGGGAAGGAGAAAAAAGAGTGTGAAAGCTAAGAGTGTTGGTCGCACTTTATCACTGTGCTCAAGAGATTAGCTCGCGAGCAAGTAAAGACTCAGGTTGAGAATATGAGAGTGCGGAAGTATTCAAAAGTCTGAAAAAATCTCTCTTCTCCTTTGCCTCAAGGGCTTTTATAGGGGATTCCTTGTCAAATCGGACGTAGCCGCCACTGGGCCCCTGCTGCAGCCGTTACCTGCCAGGGCTGTGCAGGTGATCGTTGCAACGTACCTCTTGCTTGGATGAGTGACACGTCTTAAAGAGGCAGGCACGCCCCCGCCTGCTAAGAGACGTGGGTGCAGACTGTCGAAAGGACAGGGACTGCGCCGTCAGTCAAGAGACGTGGCACAGTCTGATCGGTACGGTTTGTCAGGTAGAAGCTTCCTGAGAAACGTTCGCGCTACTCATTTGCGAGCTACTTTGTAGCGAGCTTAGGAATGCTTCAGGGTTACCCTTACTAAGGTTCTCTAGGGTGACTTATCCGCTTAGGGGCTGGAGCGATCTGGTTTCCCTAGCTCACGAGTTGAAGCAGTCTTGGAGTATCCCCTTCTAGGTAGCTCGGGGGACCTAGAGCTTGTGTTGTACTGAGCTCCTCCTTCAGCAAAATATGATATAGCGAGCTGCTCTATGGGCTCGTTACTTAGCCGTGATTAGGCTATGATGCTAAGCTGTTGCCCGTGCTGAGTCAGGTCCACGTGTCATGATTTCATAGGTCGGGTCAAATCATCCTCCATTAGGTCGCTTTTTTGTATTTTTTTTACTTTAAATGTTTATTTATACTTTTTTGCTTTAGATGTTTCCTGTTTTTGTCATTTGGTTGGGCTTCACTTTAAACGTTTTTACTCTTTACCTCAGATTAATACCAATTAAAATGTGTCAAATCAGCATTTGGTTTCAAGAAACACTTGGACATTGGGAGTAGAGGTGAATTCGAGCCAAGCTGAGCCAAATACTACCAGGCTCGAGCTTAGCTCGGCTTGAGCTTGATTTTGAAAAAAATATTTTATAAAGATAAAAAATATATATATAAATATTTTCTATTTGATATTTAAAAAATAAGATTTATAATGTTTTTATTATATATATATATATATATATATATATTCGAGCCAGTCGCAAGCCGCACAAGCCGAGCTCTAGTAGGCTCGAGTTTGGCTCGTTTAATAATCGAGCTAGTGAATTGAGCTCGAACTCGAGCTTGAACTCGGTTGAAACTGAGCTGAGCCAAGTCTGAGCCAATCTCGAGCAGCTCGTGAATAGCTCAACTCATTGCCACCCCTAGTTCGGAAAAACAAGAACTTGACGTTTCCCCAAATGGCCCATGCACAATAATCAAAGCATTTCAATTTTCTATCATTTATTTGAAATAAGGTTAGTACACCCTTCTCCTTTTTTTTTCCTTCACATCAAACACAACCTACAATTTTATTAACCATTATTAAAGGTAATTAAGTAAATGAATACATGAAGGAGTTGGCCTGCCTTGCCCCAAACCCAAAGATACAAACCACTCGATCGATCCCTTTCACGTTCCAACACCCCAACAAACAAAATCAATACAAAACGAATAAAGAATGATTAAACATTTCGAATTTTGTGTTTTTTTTTTTGTTTTTGATAAAGAAACATTAATTAAGAAATCTAACCCTGGGGCTGCGAGTGGGAAGACCTGAAAGATGGTATAAAAGTAAAGCTTTAGTGGATTGATATGACTAAAAACAGTGCAAATTGAAAGCATCAGCGACTCTATTAGCTTCCCTGTAAGCAGGAGAGAAAGCAATGATTAATTTGTCACTGATGATGTTAATTAAGAGATTGCCACATTAAATCTCAATATAATTAAGATTCCAGTTGGCGCAGCATTCAACGCCATCCAACAACAGAGCGAGCATATATTTCAGTCTAGATCTCTTCTGCTTTCATGGCTATTTGCTACTCTCTCTCTCTCTCTACAAGTAGTGTCAGTGTTTTTAGCTGATTAATTAATTCTTAAACCCATGAGGCCATGACCATGCATGTCTCTTATTCTTTTCAGTTTCTCATTTTTCATTTAAGTTTTTGAGTGGTCCATTTTATATCTTCACATTTCTTTCGTATTTTTCAGTTCCATAATCATAACCATTTCATATTTCACACACGTCACATTTGGCATCGTTCTATGAAATGATATATTTTGTAGTATGTCACTGGAGAGACTATTTGAAGAGATATATGGTTTTACTCGTCGATTAATTAGTTATTTTAATAACCATGCACGTAAGTTCTGTTAAGTGATAGATTTCTGAACGGTGCTTTATTTTCTAACATTCCTTCTTCATAAAAAGCTTATTTAGTTTCTAATATGGTCAGGAAGTCAAGAACACGTCTATTTATTTCCTACGCTAAAATTTCATTTATTATAATGAGGATTGAACACTAAAAATTTAATCTGTAAATTGAGATTCGTAATTCATTAGTAGGTTATTGGTTATCGGGCATTAACCGTGATTTTACTGAAAATAAGGGCCTGTTTGGTGCGTTTTTTTAGAAAGATCTTCTCGTAGTCCGCTCTGAGGGTCAAAAGCGAGCTTTTGCACGAAGGTCTGAGCAGCCCGAATTATGTTTGGCAGACGTGTGTCTTTTGGCTGCTAGACCTGAGTATCTGAAATACATGAAGCCTATCATTGGCTTCTTAGCAGAAAATGGGTCACCACTCTGCGCTAATATTTATCCTTGCTTGAGTTATCATCACAACCAAAACAGTATGAGGCTTGACTATGCCTTGTTCACTGCACCAGGAAGTGTGGTAAATGATGGACGGTTCAGATACCACAGCCTTTTCGATGCCCTGTTGGATTCTGTCTATGCTGCTGTTGAGAAGGTGGGTGGTTCTTCTGTAAGGATTGTTGTATCAGAAACTGGCTGGCCAAGTGCTGGCGACCCTGTGGCAACCATTGCAAATGCACAGACTTATTTGAAAAGGTTGATCCAACATGTCAAAGGGGGTACTCCCATAAACCCCAATGGTCGTATTGAGACCTACATAATGTTCGATGAGAACACCATGCCTGGAGCAGAGACCCAGGGACACTTTGGGCCATTGGCCAAGCGCCAAATCAACACTTAAGAGCGCTTCTCATATAATATATACAAATAAAGGTTGCAGAGCCAGAGGTATATATATATCAAAAATTAAAGGAGCAACGACTCTAGTGATATAATGTGATATGTAATCATCAGTGGCTGCTCTCTCTGTGAATCCCACGTTAAAGCTTATTGTCACTGTAACCAAGTATTTACTACTGCAATAAAACCGTAATGTTATAGTTAAATTGCATTAGTGTTTGAACAATTAAAAAGAGCTTTTTAATTGATGATGATTTCTTATACTTGCTACAAACCTAGACCAGATTATATTTGTTACTACTTAGAAGATTTGCATGCTTCTAATCTAATAATAAAAAGAGAATGCCAACTAGGGATACAAATGGTATCTGTTTGTATGAAATCTGAATTTGATCCCTTTATTATGGTACCAAGTATGAATCCATGCACCCCTATGTATTCAATCCAAAAGATTTTATTCGCTCCATTTTATATTTTATGTTGTATCATCTATTTAGTAAACCTGGTTTGGATGCTCTACTACTGTTTTTACTAATTTCCATAGGTTTTCATGAAATACAATATCAAAGTTATAAGAGTCATATTTGGTCATTTTTAGTTTAACTTGTTAATAATATTCAATGTCAAATTGCAACCCGAATTAAATTTAATCTGTTTACAGCCTACTTTTTTCAAAATCAATTCTGGTATTGGTAGAAATGGCATCCCTAATTCAACCAACTTTCAAACCACTGAAGATTCAATTTTCTTATGTACTCAAATTCCATGTTATCTGTGAATTCCAACCAAATAACCATTAAAAAAAAAAAAACTCACATGTGTCAATAAACCAGCTGACACGTCCATCAAATAACAAAAAAGGGTTGTTAATAATTGATCATTTTGCTAAACTTGGTGGGAATTCCGAAGGATTCACAATCTTCAATAATCTATTTGTCACCCACAAAATGTTAGCTAGGCTAGATTATGCATTGTTAACTGCCCCATCCTTTTTGTGGGACAAGATGGTGATCTCAGAGCAGTTTCTGACTTTTTTTTGGCAACCTTCCCCTTCAAATTGGATTAAGAGCAATATAGATGGGAGCTTTTTGTCTATTGGTAAAGGAATAGCTATGTTGTGATTGTAGAGTCTAGAGACTGAACAGGTCTAGCAGTGGCTATGTGTAATGTCTCGTCAACCATTCAAGCCGAAGCTATAGCCATTTTGAAGGGCATACAATTGGGATCATCTCTTGCAACTTAACAGATTTGTGTTGAATTTGATAGTTGATTGCCTGAATCTAATTCAAGCTCAACAGATTGTTAGCTAAAGTTACTTTTTTTTTTTTTCTTATGTCAGGAACTCTTGGATAAGAAAAACTCTAAACATATTTGATTCTATTTTATCAATAAAGCTGCTTATAAAGTATAGCTAATGAATTTGCTAAATGAGGGCAGGTGGTGGAGGTAAGTTATGGCACTAGGGAGATCCACATGAAGGATGGAAGATGGCAGTGGTCATGGTGGCCATGTGTCATGAGGTTATTGGAGGGCCAAATCCGCCCTCATCAATTGCCCCCCACTCCTGAGCTAAGTGTAGCTCGGCGAAGGGAGCAGATTGTTCCTTTGGCCCAGAATGACTGTTTGATTAGCTCATAGTCGTTGGTGTCAATCCAATTTGCTCCTCAGGTCGGAAGAGTCCAAGTGTTTGCAGCCTTACGCAGGACCTCACAGTCTTGATTGTTAGGGCACAAGAGCAAATTCATCCGTTCGATAACAGGTACCCTGAGGACATCTACCTTATTAGGGATGCGACCATCAAGGGGTTCTGCAATCTGACTAAGTACCTCAAGAGAAAAGCTCATCATGCCGTCCTCAAGAAGGGGTTCTATGTGGCTGCTTTATCAGGTTGCTCCACCTAGGTAAACTTCGACGCAGTGTCCCTCAAGCTGGTTCTCAAAAGAGTAGCTAGCGAGTTCGATGCGGAGCCTGAAACCAAGGTGGAAGTCTACTATGAAGAGATTAGCCAAGTTTGTGTCTGTCATGGTCTAGTCTTTCCTTTGTTTCTCTTTCTTGTGTTGGATTAATCTTCATTCCTTTGCTTTTTTTTCTCTCTTTCTTTTTTTCTTTCTTCTTCTACACACCGATGAGGCTAAGGCGGAACGATATGTACCCGATCTGTCTGCACACCGATGGGGCTGAATGCGAACTACTTTTTTATTCCACCCATGCCGAAGAGGTGACTGGGTCTTATGTTGCTCATGCCGAAGGGGCGACTAGGTCTTATTCATGTTTAGTGCCGAGGTCACTATTTGTTCGGCATCATGACCCTTGGACTCTAGGAGCGACTCATAGTTCACTCCCCATAATATTATATAGCCGACATACGGCTTGACCTCTCCGCCTAAGCTGGTGGTCATTCTGTAAACTACAGTTTCATATTCTATCTAGTGGATTGTAACTCGGGGTTGCTATCAATTGTACTAGGCTGAAAAGTTGAAATTGAAGAATTTCTTAAAAATTTCGTGTTAAAGAGTTTGTCTTACAACCAATACACGGTCTTCCTTGCAAAGGATTAATTACATGTATTTAACAACCTACTTTATTGACAGTGACTAAATTGAACAAAAAAATTTTAATTTTTGTCTAACTTCTAGTAATAAAGGAGAGGCAATTGTTAAGACAGTAGAAAAGTGTTTTCTTGAATAGGGAATTGATAAAATTTTCTTCACTATAATTGATAATGCTAGTTCAAATGAATTGGGATATGCTCCTCACATAGGGCACCTCACACCGACCTCACATGCATATCTCACCATGCTTTGGGAACATCTCCCAGGAATAATAACGTATAAGTACATAAGATGTTTCTAATGCATGGTGAGATGTTCTTGTGAGGTCATTGTGAGGCACCCTATGTGAGGAGCAAATCTGGTCTCATTTCAAATGATGTTGTGAGTGTATTTTTAAGAAAGAAAATTGCTAATTACGGAACTAGTATTTTAGATGGAAAATTGCTTTACATGTGATGTAGTAGACATATAAATTTGATTTTGAATGATAGTTTGAAAGAGATGGGTAAATCTATTAATTGTATTTGGGGGTAGTAAGTTTTTTGGAGTAGTAGAGTAAGGTTGCAAAAATTTAAGGAGCTTGTTAAGATTAAAAAAATTCATAGTAAGAGTTTCTTGTGCTTAGATGTTTGCAATAAATGGAACTCAACTTATTTAATGTTGGAGGAAGATCAGAAGTTTGAAAGAACCTTTGAGAGGTTTGAAGATCATGATCCTTATTTTATAAGTAAAGTTGAGATGCGATTTTGCAGTACAGGTTTCAAGTTCCTTGTATGTCACATCTAACAACTTTTTTCAATAAATTTATTTAGAGGATTGCTTTTTACAAGAATGGGGACATATGGATAGGGAACTATTAGAAATGGTAAAAAGGATGAAATGGAAGTATGACAAGTATTAGAGCAACATTGACAAGATGAATAAATTGATTTATATTGTAGTTATTCTAGACCCTCGTTAGAAATTAGAGTATGTGGAATTTGCACTTATGATATATATGAAGGTGCGAAGGGTGAAGAACTTGTGAAAAACTTAAGAAAATTGTGTATGATTTATATAATGAATACAAGAATATGATTCCATCTGAAAATGAGTACATTAGTGATAAAACCCATGGTTTTCAAAACCAGACCGGACTGGAAAAACTGGGAACCGCTTTTTCCCCCAAAACCGTTGATTTTGGTTAGCAAACTGCTGAACTGGCTGGTTAACCGTTCAAACCGGTAACTAGACCCCCAAAACCCAAATTTCAACTTTAAGTGAGATAGAGGGTGAGAAACCAACACAACTAAATAAGATATTGTTAATGTCTTGATTTAAGAAGTACATGCCAAAAATGGAGGGTTTGAAAGTAAATTGGAGTTGGATTGGCACCTAAATGAAGATACTAAATATTCAAATTATGACTTTGGTATCCTAGGATGATATTAAGTTAATTGCCCCAGATAGAAAAACCACTTGTATGTGCTAAAAATTGGATCCAATTATCACAACATGCCATTAATGTTATAGAATATCTAAAAGAGCTTGACAAACTTGAAAATGGTAACAATTTTTTTTTTTAATTTAAGTTTCATATTATTTGCCATTTTTCTCATGATAATTATTTAACTTTTGTAATTTGTAAGTGTTTTTCTAATTTTCTTCCTCAATTTTCAAATTTATCAAATGTTGTATTTACATTAGATCCAATAGTGATTGGTATGTGATTATCCTTATTTATGCTTGTACTTGATACGTTTTTTAAATTTGATACTTGTATTGTATAACATATTAGACTTGTACTATAATTTTTAAGGTTCTTATATCTCTCTTATAGGCCACTAGGTTGAACCTGGAGAACATGGAAAACATTGAGAATATGATCCAAGACTTGTTATTGCAAGATTCTTCTTACTATGCTTTTGTTGGGTCTATGATGTTTGGTCATTGGTTTTATATTTGGACCTTTGATGTATGTTTCTGATGGATGATTGGATGATTTAATATATATATATATATATATATATTTCATATTTAGACTGTTGGACATGATTTATTCATGTTTAGGGTGCATTTTTTATGCCTTTTAGTTTTAGATGCTAATATAGTTTACTAATATTTTATTCTTTTCTCTCTAGATAATTTTTATTAATATTGTCATATAGATTTTCTATTGATGTTTCTTAAGGAGTGATTTTCTATCATCTTTGAAGTTTGAACATAAGGTATGCCACATTCTCTAGTTAAATTAGATTGTTCTCTAGCTTGGTGAATTTATGAACCATCAACCTTAGCTATCAATTAATAAATGGATTTATGAACCACTCAACTTTTTCTTCCTCTCTTCCTTGGCTTCTCTCTGCTTATTTCCACTCATCTCATCATAGAATCGAAGTGGAGCTCATTTGAATCAGGTTAGAGAATTGTATATGATGGAGGATGGTTTGACCCAATTTATGAAACGGTG